TATCTGAAAGTGACTTAAGAACAAACTTAAAACTTTTGAGGTAGGTCTAACATAATGAATTCTCTTTTATCTGAAATAATACTTTTAAATGTGCATCAGAAACTCTTCAAAGGTTTTTCAAGCAGTGACAAGGAAGGAAAACAGATGGTTTTGACTGTCTAGGAAGTACATAAATCACACATATATAAATACATTACAATTATTACTGATAAAACAGCAACGATGAGGTTCTACTATATAGTAAATAATAATTATATATTGTGAAGTTATGCAAAAGATAATACTCTGCTAAAACAAATACAAGTTGTGACGTTAATAGTGATTGGAAACAATATTTCAAATGATCATTCTTAAGCACAATATTAGAAATTCAGTTTACATAAACGACTTTTGTAGTATCATAGAAATGCTTTCTCCAAGTTATTTAAAATATCTGACATTAAAAAGTGTTTTGCTCACTTAGCCCAGAACAAATTTCTGAAGAAAGCAATGAAGACTTCCTGTTTCTGAGAAGCTCAAGACTTTCAGAAACATTTAAAACTGACATTTTCATCTTCTTTTTCCCATATATCAACTCTTTTTGTCAACAAAAACTTTTTTGAGGTCTGCACAGTTGTACAATAGATAACCAGCCGCCCCATCCACACAGAAGGTGGGAAAGAAAAATCCAGCTATGATTATTTGGAATTTAGCTCGGTATAGACCCAATCAGGGTTCACTGATTTGCTCCTCCAACAGATATTACCTGAAATGGGCAGCAAGGGACATTAGATAATTGGCCAAAGGAAAGAAAACATTCCTGACATTTTATAGCAAAAGTGAAGCGACTTTGAAGCAGTGTTATTCCCTGGATGCTGCTGCTGCTTCATTGGACTGCCAGCCCCCTTTAGAAGGAGACAGACAAACTGCATTTACATTGCAACTTAAACTGGAGAGTTACTACCCTTTTTCTTTTCTTTTTCATACAAGTAACTCTATCCTCCACTGAAACTCTTATTGCCTTCCTTATACTGATACCCTCCATATGCTTAACCTGATAACAATGTGCTCACATCCTTAGTTACTGCAATTGTATAGCATTTCTTAAAGGTAATATAAAGAATAGTGGATATTTAAAAAAAATAGAACCTAAGAAAAACATTTGAAACGGCCTATGCCAAATACTAAATCGCATAATTATAGGCTTCTCTGGTTTGTTGGAAAAGATCAGTTGAGAATGACGCACACACAGTGTTAACATTCATCACAGTATAACATAATCAGAATTTCCCCTTGTCATTTACAACCTACAATCTCAAATCATAGAAACTATGTTATTTGGACAATATTTTAGTTGTATAATTGTATTTCTTTTGATATAAAACATCTTTCTGGGTTCTGAACATGCTTCTGAATGTTTGGATTCCAAAGAAGGAAAATATTAATAACATTTGAACTTTCTCTAAGAATAACCAGGAAATAATATCCCATGTAGGAGACAACCAATTCAACATTGTAGAGTTTAGAAAAACAGAGGAGTTAACAACAGTACACAGCCCCATCCTTTCCTCTTTAAGACCTAATTGTAAGGTAAAGAACATCGTATAATTCAAAACAAAAAGGTATTATCATTATTCATCAGCAAGTATTCACAGACTGCTCGCTGCTATACTAAGAAATTATGGGTGGCTATGAGAGAGATGCAGGACATCATCACTGATTTTAAGGAGTTTATAGTTGACTTGAGGAAGACAAAGGCAAAATTAAGGAAGAATTAAACTCTGCCTCATGAGGTAGTTATTACAAGTACACTAGATGTTCAAAGAGCAAAGGTGGAAGAAATACCCTACAAATGACTTTGTCAGAATAAGCCTTTTCAAAGAAGAAAGAACTTTGAATCTACCTGGAAGACAATGAGGGATTTAGAAAGCAGAGCATGGTTTCAGGTGGGATAACTTGGAAGACTCCAGGACCCTTGATATTACTGCAATCTCAAAGACAGGAGTGGAAGGATTGAGGATCTCAACAGCTTAAAATATAGTTGTTGGGAAACACAATAAAATGGTTAGCCAGATCGATCGTGGAGAGTCGTTGGGGGTTGTTTGCCAGCAACTGTGAAGAAAGTGGTTTGTAATCTGGAAACCATTAAAAATTACTGGGGCAGATTCTCTGGTGCTTGACTGCCAGTGCTGGATTTTCTGCTACTTAACTCATTCTCTACTTACTTTGCCTAGCTGCAAAATGGGAAGAAAATTTCTCTTCTCTAAGAATCAATGTGAGGCTCAAGCAATAATGAACATGAAAGTGTTTTGGAAGGCAAAAATCATTTATACTGTGTTAGTTTATATTACATTATACTGTGGTAGAATGACTAAAATAGGATTGCTTTAGACAGACAGTTAAGTTTTCAGGCTATCAGGATGCTATCATTGGATGAATTGTTCTATTTTAGTTGGGAACAAAAATAATAGAGTTCTTCTCTATCACCTGGATACAGTGCAGATAAGACAAATGGCTTTTGTTTAAATGGGTAATAAAAAAGCAACTACTGTTAAAGTGCTGTGTCTTCAGTAGTTCTTGGTGCTGTCATACTCAACCTCAGAGGACCTTTGGAGCATCCACATTTGTACAAAACCAACATCCAAAATGCCTATATAGGAGCCAGACACGGGCAGTGGGCCAGAGTGATTTCCATGAGAAGCCAGTTTAAGTGACACATTGCTTCCTGATTAGGTTGGGCAACCCAACAGCCCACTTCTAGTGGGAACTTTCTATCACCAGCTGCTCAGCTAAAGAAGTATTGTTTTTCTCCTTGTGTTCCATAAATAAGCTACAGTGAATTGATTCAGAGTGCAAACCAGGTGAGATATATACATATATAAGACCGTCAGGAGGAACTGGCAATCTTGTCTCATGATCCATCTCAGATTTCACCATTTGGTGCCAAAAACAAATTCACATGTTCACTTCTGTTTAAAATAGTTTATTTAGAACTAACCTAAACACACACACACACACACACACAGAAAGACACACACAGTTTAAAAGTCAATAACCTATGTAATCAAAATGTTTTTTTGTTTTTTTGTTTTTTTTTAAGCAAAGTCTTATACTATGGTTTATTTCCTGTGGTTAAGTTGAATTTAATTGTCCAAGATTTTTGAAGTCTTATCACTTCACCAAGGCTTAACTTTTGTCTTTAGATACACTCTAATCTCTAAAATGTCAATAGACTAAATCTGTAGGCTGTTTTCTACAGATCACCACTCCCCAAAAAAATGAAGAATTCCATTTGCCGAGTCAGGTATGATGCTGATAATGTCAGGAAGCTGTGAGGACTTCTCATGTAGTTTCCCACAGAGTAAGGCCCATACCACCCAACCTTACTCAGCCAGTGAATTTCTGAAGTTTCCTTCCAGAATAAAAGTTGTAAAGGTCTATGATACCTCTTTCTTGCTCACCAATGAAAGTGATGGATGGGGGAGTTAAAAAAATTCCCAGAATCATAGGAGACAAGGGATAGAGTTATGTTTCATGACTGGTTTCTCATTGCCATCATGCTTACTGATTACCTGTGCTCTCCTGTGAGAGCAAGGGTCTTCAGAACCAGCCAGAAGAAGATCGAGTTTGATTTCCGTGAAAGAAAGCCGATGTGTCATTCCAATACAATAGCCATTCCTGCATGGAGCAAGACAGTGGAAGACCTTTAAACCTTCAGCGCTTTAACTCCTCCTCAGATAACAGAAGGAGAGAGGGAGAGGAAGTTGGAAGCTACTTCACCTTTCATTTTCAGGCAGCAGTGCACAGCTCACTGGGGACTAGAGAAGGCCTGTGATCGCCAGTAATCATGAAACTCAATTGTTCCAGAAGCTTGTGGGGAGCATTACCTCCCCCATGCAGTTTGAGGGGAAACAGACTGGGTGCTGTGGTGCTGCCAAATTGATACAAACCCCTACAAGAAACTTTCACACGAGCCCCTCAAACTCATCAGCCTCCTACAGCATCTCCAAATGGTGTCAAATACGTATCTGTGGGTGGGTTCAGAGCTGGGGCAGGCCTGGGATCCCTAGCAGGTTTTAGCCTGTGCTCACCATACTACACCTCAGCCCCAAGAACACCAAAACCTCTTCCAATTCAATAGTATAGCAACTGCCAACAGCAAGGTATCTTCCATGGCAATTTGCTGGGTGATTTTGGAAGATTTTTGCTTAACCACCTGGACACAGATGTACTTGGTATACTACAAGTACAGAATTCTCAGTAAGTAGACTTAGTCACCAAAGAAGGTGATCTGTGGGGGAGTCAACAAAATTCAGTGGTAGTCCTTTCAGGCCACTGACTTCAAGTGGCAAGAGACAAGGGTCTCTTGTTATCATGTTATCTTGGCTTCCAAACCTGGCTGAAGTCCAGAGAATCATAAAGTCATTCAAGAAAGCTAGAATGACCTGCGTGCCAGGAAGACAGGAAGGACTTTCAGTTTAGAGCAATTCAAACATGCATAACATTTCTTGGATTACTAGTAATAATAATTAGAAAGACTGACTTTGAGAAATTTTTCTCAAATCAAGGCTCCTGCTACTTTGGTTCCACCTTTTCTCTCTAGAAGGAGAGGAGCAGCATCTCCCAGACAGCTGCCTGCCTCAGAAACGCCAGCATCCCTAGCCCCCTGAGGCCCAGGGCTTGAGGCCCTGCTGAATCACTGCTCCCTTCTGGCTGGAGTCACAGCTCCCTCCACCGCGGAGCAGGTGGAGAATGTCCCTCTAGGTAGAGGTGCCCGCAGCTCCTCCAGGACACCCTCCCCACTGTCTGCTCCCCCCCTCGCTTCTTTCCACACTGCCCCCTGAATTCAGGGAATTTCCCCAGCATCCCAAAGCTTGAGTTTCCTGCCAGTGGGGAGAGATGAATGTAGATAAAAGGAGTTCAAAAGACGCTAGGAAGTCTCAGTGCTCAGGATCCTCCAATCTCTGCTCCTCCATTCAGTTCAGGAACCCGCGACTGCTCCCAGCGATCTCTTGACCACTATGAGCCTCCTGTCCAGTCGCCCGGCCCGTGTCCCGGGTCCTTTGGGCTCCTTGTGCGCCCTGCTCGCGCTGCTGCTGCTGCTGCCGCCGCCAGGGCCCCTCAGCCCAGGTGAGAGCGCCTGGCACGCGGGGCGCGCTGGGGCACAGCGGTGCATCCCAGCCTATGCTGGGCAGCTGCCTTCCAGGGAACTCACCAAGCAACCGGCCCTATAAAGGTGTCTCTCTTTCTTCCCCAGCTGGTCCTGTCGCTGCTGCGTTGAGAGAGCTGCGTTGCAGTTGTTTACAGACCACGCAGGGAGTTCAACCCCAAATGATCAGTAATCTGCAGGTGTTCGCCATAGGCCCGCAGTGCTCTGAGGTGGAAGTGGTGTAAGTTCTGTGCTGCTCTGTCCACTGTGACCTTGGCAAGAGGGAAGTCCCGCAGCCTGGGTCTTCAACCTTTCTATCTCATGAGTGTATCTTCCTTTTCTTTCCTTCAGAGCCTCCCTGAAGAACGGGACGGAAGTTTGTCTCGATCCACAAGCCCGTTTTCTAAAGAAAGTCATCCAGAAAATTTTGGACGGGTACTTGTCACTTTGATCTTTGTGGTTTTTAAATCTCATCTAGGGAAACCATGGACTTCACAAAGTCTTTCTTCTCTGTACTATTTAAGTAACTTTTCACGTTTAGAATTAAAAGGTTGTTAAATTGGGAACATTTTTCTGGATTGTCCTGGGATAATCTTTATTACCAATCTTACATGTAATTACTTGAGCAATTGCACACAGCTTGTCGCTAGTTATGTTTTGTGTTTCCCTATTGCTTGTATTGGTTTTGTATACTCTTTTTTTACCAAGCATTATAAACGCTGAGTGTTGACACCAGGGTGGAGTAGAAAGGAGTCCGAAAAATGGTTAAACTAATATAACCTTTTTCTCAACAGTGAAAACAAGGACAACTGATGAAGAGAAATGAGTAGGCGTGGAAGCGTTTCCCAGTCTTCAGCAGAGCAGTTTTCTGCAGGTCTCTGGACCCAGTGAAGACAAGAAGGAAGGATTTTGTTGTTGTTTGTTGTTTATTTGTTTTTCCAGTAGTTAGCTTTCTTCTTGGATTCCTCACTTTGAAGAGTGTGAGGAAAACCTATGTTTGCCCCTTAAGCTTTCAGCTCAGCTAATGAAGTGTTTAGCATAGTACCTCTGCTATTTGCTGTTATTTTATCTGCTATGCTATTGAAGTTTTTGGCAATTGACTATACTGTGAGCCAAGAATCACTAGTTGTTAATCTTTCAAAGTGTCTTGAATTGAAGGTGACTATTGTATCTCCAAGAAATATTCCTTAATGTATTAACTGAGAAGGCAGTGGATTTAATATGGAAATGATGTTTCATAAGAATTCTGTCAATGGAGATACACTGCTATCTTCACCTTTTTAAGAAATAGGAAATATTTTAACGTTTCTTGGGGAATATGTCAGAGAATTTCCTTACTCTTGATCGTGGGATACTATTTAATTATTTTGTTTTAGAAAGCTGAGTGTATCGCACCTTATCTATGTAGAATATATTTCCTTATTCAGAATTTTTAAAAGTTTACGTTCTATGAGGGCTAATATCTTCCTATAATTTTAGACATTCCTATTTTTTAAAGGTTTGACCATTTTGTTGTGAGGAATTACATATGTATTACATTCACTATATTAAAATTGTACCTTTTTATTATGTGTCTCATTGGTTCATAGTCTTTATTTTGTCCTTTGAATAAGCATTAAAAGATTTCTAAACTTCACTTATATTGTTTCTCCTTCCTATGCTGTTGCAATACGTTTTACTTATCTTTAATTCTATATAATTTCAAACACTAACTCTGCTCCTCTGTGCCTGGCAGAGAAGGCCGTCGTTCCCCAACACCGTTGCTTTGGTTCAACATTTCTCCAAGCTCAGTTCCCTTCCAGTTATTCCTTCACAGCCCCAATGGCCTCTGGGGTCTTTGGAAAACACAAAGATTTCCTTCTCTAAATTCTTCCTTATCTAAGTTGTTTCCTAGAAATAAAATAGAGGTTTCTAAGTATGACAGATGATGTTCTTTCTGTCTCATCCCACTCCTGATCAGCACTTCAACTTCCCTTGTGCCTCAAATTCACTACAGTCAGGTGTTCAGTTCCCTAACTGGGCATGTTCTTTCCTAGGCCCATGACTTTGCATTTGCTAGGGCCACTACCTGCATATAAGAGGAGGCTTACTCATCCTTAAGAACTCAGTTCAAGTAACACCTCCTTTGTGTTTTCCTTGGCAGAGCTCATGGCTTCCAACTTGATGTTCCCATAACATCTCATTATCTGAATTACAACAAAAATATTGCATTACTCTTACTTATTTATAGGTTTCTTCATCCACTCTAGCTCTCCCAGAGCATTAACCATATTACATCTACCTCTGCATCCCCAAAGTAGCATTAATGCAGGACTTAATGAATTAACTAGTTATCCCGATCTTCAGGCTGTCAGATACTGTTCTAAATTCAATAACCTGGCTCATAATAGGTGTTTTTTTTTTGTTTTTTGTTTTTTTTTTTTTTTGATGCTGAGTCTTGCTCTGTTGCCCGGGCTGGAATGCAATGGCATGACCTCGGCTCACTGCAACTTCCACCTCCCGGTTCAAGTGACTCTCCCGCCTCAGCCTCCTGAGTACGTGGGAGCACAGGCACCTACCAGCATGCCCAGCTAATTTTTGTATATTTGTAGAGACAGGATCTCACCATGTCGGCCTGGGTGATCTTGAGATCCTGACCTCAGGTCAGCCTCCAAAGTACTAGGATCACAGACATGAGTCACCGTGCTTGGTTTTAATTAAATTATAACTTGTTTACCCTCTTTTCTCCTTGTCTAGCAGTAGTCCAACACTGGGTTTGGCATGTACAGTCCTCTCAATCTATAATACCTCCCCTCACTTTTACCAGGGTAACTACCATCCTTCCTTCTGGAATACCTTGCCTTTTACTTCCTTGAGGAAACCTCTCCAACCCTTACTCCTACCTTTGAGGAGGCCCCTTTTATATCCTCTCCTAGCACTCTGTACTTTAACTTCATAAAATTTTCTCACCAAAGCTACTGTAGAGTTTATTGAGTCTATGTGTTTATTGTCATCTGTTTAGGATCTCTCTATTCTAGCTTCATGTAAGCTTTATGAGGGTGGGGACAATGCTTGTTAACTTCATCTCAGTTCTTAGGACAGTGCCTAGCACATACAAGGTATTCAAAAAGCAAGTGATCTAGGCTAAACAAGTCCCCTTGTCACTCTAAAATTAAAAGACCAATTTCATTTAAATACATATTCTTAGGTATTTATGTTGAACATTTCCCTATCTAAATGACAAATGAGGTTGTCTCATCCCAACCCTGATCAGTACTTCAACTTCCCTTGTCCTTCAAATTTACTATATAAATACCTAAGAATAGGTATTTATATGAAATTGCTCTTTTACAAAACACAAGAAAAGGAAAGAAAGAAGATTAATTATATTAGTATGTATGTACATACATTCACACTGCAGTTGGATTATATTATACATGTTTATACAGGCATGTACTTGTATAAATTTGAATATGCTATGAGTCTTTTTTTCTTTTTTTTTTCTTTTTTTTTTCTGAGACAGAGCCTCACTCCATAGCCTAGGCTGGAGTATAGTGGCACGATCTTGGCTCACTGCAACCTCTGCTTCCCGGATTCAAGCGATTCTCCTGCCTCAGCCTCCAGAGTAGCAGGGCCTACAGGCACGCCCTACCGCGCCCAGCTAATTTTTTTGTATTTTTAGTAGAGACAGGGTTTCACCATGTTGGCCAGGATGGTCTTGATCTCTTGACCTCATAAACCGCCTGCCTTGGCCTCCCAAAGTGCTGGGATTACAGGAGCGAGCCACCGGAGTCTTTTAAAGAAGCTCTGGAAACTATGTACTCTCTACATATTTTCTGTCAATTATATAATAACTATCAGAATATATGATGTATTTTCCTTTGTATAAATATTTATCAATCAAATATTAATTTATTGACATTAATCGATAATCCTGTTGCATGCCTGTTATCTTTGCAGGACGCTTATGATCTGGAAATTACAAAGATGAGGAACTGTCAGTCTAAGTTAAGGTTTTCTGCTGCAGATATACTCAGTTTTCCCACAGAACAAAGATTTTCCAGTAAGAACAGTGGAAGAAAGGGGAGAAGAGGTGAGGGGAAGAAGTAGAAGACAGAAGACTAGAGGAGAGAAGGATGAGAAGAGGAGGGTGTTGGAAGGGCCTATGACTTGCCTGCTATTTTCCTTTCTATTTTCTTCCTTCTCTGCTTTTCCTTCTTCTTCTCTTCCCTCCCCTCCCCTTGCCTGTTCTCCTTCTCTCCCGCCATTCCTCATTTCTGCTTATTAGTGAGAAGTTAAATAATTATATTTAAAAGAGTAGCAGAAGAACCCAGGTGCCCCAGTAGGAATCGCAGCCAGCAGCCAACACCAACTACCTCTCATGTGAATCAAGCCATTAAAATTTTGTTTTAAATTATTTTATTATTTTTCTTATTTCTTAAAAAAATGTTGTGAGTTCATAGTAGCTGTTTATATTTATGGGGTACATGAGACGTTTTGATACAGGCAGGCAATGTGAAATAAGCACATTGAGAATTCGGTATCCATTCCATCAAGCATTTATCCTTTGGGTTACGAACAATCCAATTACATTCTTTATGAGTTATTTTAAAATGCACAGTTAAGTCATCATTGACTATTGTCACCCTATTGTCCCACTTTTTATTTTCAGCCACTTCAGCTGCTCCTGACTGCACTCACTTAAGTGAGCTTAGCAGAAGAACCTCACGCTAACATACAGAATTATCAGAAACAATAAATTAATATTTTAAGCCACTAACTATGAGGTCGGCTTATTACACAACAAAAGAGAATTAATGGTATTTGTTAACAATTTAATGTGTTTGCAGGCTCTAGAACATTATGTTGGAATTTCCTTAATGAATCAGTATGTAAGGAAACTAGGTAACCTGCATACATTTGAGATTGAACAAATGTTATTAATCAATGTAATTTAAAACACAAATTCTGAGTCCTGCAAAGCTTGGAAGTATTGTATATAATGGCACCTAGAAAGATACCTTCCCCTCGACTCCTTCACCCTCCCCACTTTCCTCCCATTTTCACCCCTTGCTTCACCTCTGAGCAGTATACAGTAAAACCTCAATTAACATCTGAACAATTCTTGTCAACTCACAGTTATATGGTAAGCACATTTGGTTTCAGCACTTACAGAAAAACTTTTGATGGATAGTCTTTTAAATTTATTGATTAAGATACTTTAACAAACAGACTCAAAATTGTACTATCCTTAGCATTTTCGGTACCAATTGCTTTTACGATTAATTTGTAGCTGGTAGTCTACTTCCTTCATACCTGAAAGAAGGATTTGGGAAATGCGTGTTAAAAATGTTCTGTATGAGGCAGAGAAGAAGTAATATATGTCTTAATTTTATAGATAGTGGTCCTCCAATGTCTCTAGATATTTTCTTTTAAAATAGCTAACATAGAATGTGCTTTGAGTCTTAGATAATTTGCTTGCTTCCTTCATGACTCTGCTATTTATAAGATGACTTAAAGAAAAAAGAGCTAAAATAACTTAGCACTCCCAACACACACATACACAAACCCACAATGACAATGTAAGATTAATAAAATGGCTGTCAAGTTATCTTAAAAACAAGGAACAAAATAACTCTTTTCTAATTCTAGCATTTATTTAAACAATAATTTTGTATGACTGTATGATTTTAACTGAATAAGTTATTAAAAAACATATTTTAACCAGTTTTGTACACTCAGTTTATCATCATCTGTACTGTGTTTCTCAGCGTGGAAATGGAAGGGAATGATGCAAACGACAGTAACAGCAGTTAACAGTGGCAGTTGTCATCATAGCAGCAAGAGTAGAGTATTTTTCATATCCTGTTGCTTTACACAAATATTTTAGGCCTGATTTTTTAAAAACAAATAATCAAATGACCAAGTCACGCAAAGAGAACTTTGTAAAATCTGTTATGAAGTTCAGGCTCAATCAATCGATGCTTAACGAATATTTTTTGAATTAATGAAAACTAGCAAAATATTTTTTGTATCAAATGCTGACTGACATCCTTATGAAATTGTGATGACTCAAGAAATCTGTCACTATTGCCTCATGGATTTTGCCGACGATGCGTTTTTTGCAACAAGCCACATTTGTTGATTAAGGCAATGACTCCATGATACTGGAGTCACCTTTTTCCTGATGTCAACCCACTGGTTGGTTTCCTGGTAGGAAAGAGCCTACCTTTTTCCTGGTATCAACCCAGTCAAAAGCGTCATTACTTTAGAAAACTTTTCATACAGTTTCCTCAAAAAGATTAGGGACTTTTAGGAAATCTTACTAATGAACAAGGAAAGAAATCTGGATAGTGTTAAAGTAGGGAAAGAAAAAGGTGACCAGTGAGGCCAATAAACGTTCTCAGCAATGTATTTTGGGGTTGAACAGAAAATGAAATATACTATGAATAGTGTTT